TAAAATCTGTAAGTTACTGCATTTCTCCCAGAACCTAAGGCATTCCAGTAACCGATGATGCAGTTACTTCCCAGGGGCACCGGTGTTCCTGGGAACACCTCGCTTTATATTTCACGTTTCCTCGTAACCTCACCACAGTACGAAATCGTTTTAAAGAAAGCCTTCGTGCTCTTTTCCAGTAAGCAATCCGTTTCGGTGTCTAGGTACCACACAGCGTGTATATATATTTTCGTTTGCTACCTTAGTTTCTGTGATTGTTTATCATTGAAGGGAAGAGAAAACGTTGGAGCTTTGCCGGTAGAGACTTTAACGTGGAGAGAAGCCAAACTGTAAGTTAAGAAAACACAGACTCGGAGCGAGTCCAACTGGGTTACTGGGAATTTAGTAATCACTCTTACCTTACTCGAGTCTAGTGTCTTGTGTTTGTTTTAATTACATGACTTTGCTATAGTGGTTTAATTTTGTGTTATAAAACGGTAATAAAATGCTGATTTATTCGTTTATATAATAAAAATAAATCTTGAAAAATATTTAGACCTTACCAACCAGCTAGACATGTGATCGCTAAGGGCTAATTTTAAGCATCGCTTCTCTGATCTGTTTTCTCTTTAAACATTACTTCATGAAACCAATTGCATTATGTTGTTAGTTACGTAGGGTTACGGGTTTTATGATAAGCAGAAAAGCATGGGTCTTCGGTTAGCGCACAGATAACATGATATCATGATTCATCTGTCGGTCAAAACAACACTTTCCATTTGAAGGAAAATAGTAATGTTTGTTCTTGCCGTTTGTTGTGTACTGACGAGTTTGACTTTATCTGCCGTCGGAGTTAAGAGACGCGAAGCCCTGCACAGAAAAATCACTGCCTAAAAGAAAGATTTTGTACAGCCAGTAGGCTCTGTGAGTGATCCCAGACGAAGGGGGAATGGGAAGCTTGATTCGTATTGATACAAATTCTAGGAATGAAGCGGATCCGACATACATAAGCTATGCCATTTCACATTGTGACGCATTGCAACCTTTCCGATATTTGTTTTTTCGCTCTCTTTCATTCTCTCATACCATTTCCCCAACCACCCTTCTTCTGGCTTCTGTCCTCCGCACGCCTCATTCCAATGGGTGTAAGGGAAGCTGCTATTTTAAGGGATCGATACTATATCGGTTTGGCAGGAGGTGGGGGCGTTCGAGGCTAGAAGTTGTGACGTCACATCTACAGTGAGGGGTACAGATATTTCGTCACATTCACTTACATTCCACTTTTATCACACGATTCGTTGCCTTCCTGCATTAAGCTCACTTCACGCAGTCACGATGGACTCTAGTTGTATGTCCATTTTGACGTGGGGCTGTTTGTGAATAGAGCGGCACACCTGATGGTCTCTCCGGAATTGTTGTAATTGTGTGTCGCTATACTCAAATATTTACACGTCATCATCTGTAAAATAAGCGCTAAAAACTCTGAGTCTGAGACAGTGTCGTTTAAATTTTAAATAATTTAAATTTTGCAATAAGTTCATAAAATGAAATTGTAATAAAGAAGTGATCTGTTTACATTCACCCACCCGTATGTTTTATGTCCGAATTGTTCAGTAAATTTCTGTGGAATTATTAAATGACATACAAGGCGACATACATTTTGGTCCGTTTAGATAAAATATTAATCATAATTAATATAAAACTGTAATTTAGCTTTATAAATTTACTCTGAAACGTTTTAACGTAGTACATATCTGAAATATAAACCCAACGAAGGTTTTTAATGTGTGTTTGGAACAATCTTCAATATGAAGAATAAGAAAATACGGAAAGAAAGCATCTCTGCAGGCGGGTAGTCGGTTCGACTTTAATCAGTATACACATTTCTGTCTGCGACGTCACGAAAACAGCTGCTGTTGTTAATTTATGTAATTCTTTCGAAGAGAATAGATCTACATATTCAGGGCTATATATTTAAAGTCATCCGTATATGTAACTTAAACGATTTTCTTGATTACGTAATAAAAGTGAATAAAATGCGTTCAAGTTCGTGTATCTTCACTGAGGGTACTTAATTCTGAATCTGATAATTTTAAATGCTTACACACCCGGCCTCTTGGTCAAAATTACATTCATATTTCAAGAAAAATGACTTTATTAATCACACGTTTACACATAGCTTCCCAGTCAGCTGCACGCATGTCCTAAAAGTTTGTCACGAGTGAGAATTTGAACGGTATGAAGTTTGTAGCTTGTGGTGTGCATTTTTCTGATCAGTAGAAAGTGTATTTTCAATAGGATAATGTTCAGCGTGGTAAGCAGCCAATTTAACAGCTATATGACCGAGTCTCTGTGCGTGGCATAAATTCTGTATCTTCTAAATTTTGTCACATTTATTCGAAGTTTGTAAATTTCAGGGCGAACACGGCTTTGTTCTTGAAGAGCCAGTCTTTCATCTGTTACTTTGTTTGATTGGAAGTTGCAGAAGATTTACAAAAAAAGAAATTATGATATGAATATTGTGCAGAACTATGAACGAATGTGGTTGATAATTTCAATCAGGTTTGTGTTTACGCCGTTGTGGTAAACCATTTTCTCCTACAGCATGAACAATATTTAAGTTTTTAACTTTTTTTCTCAATCGGTGGTGCATGGTACTCAGAAGTGCTTCCATCAGTTCATCCTTTACTGTGTAACACTTGAGGTTCTCACAGCGGTGAGTGTGAAGATTTCCGTCTTCTGGGTTGTTGCGCTGTGTAGTCTGGTCGATGTTAACCAACGTTTCAGAGGTCATACTGCCTCCGTCATCAGGGCGACAACCCAGAAGACAGAAATCTTCATCCTTTACTATTTCTGTGGCTGCTATAAATTACGACTGTCGACTTATTCCTTCTTCCGCCACCTGAAAGTTTTTTTTTCCGGAGTAACGGCCATGAAGATAATAGTTGAGGTTTTCTGTAACATTATTCTTGAAATGAAATTCCTTGTCATTTATCCCGCCTCGCGTTACTATGGTGACCTTCTCGTGTAATGAAATTGGCTTCACCACTATCACCACAACTCCTGTGTATAATAAAACACACCACCGCTATTTATATTGCTGTATTGCTGTTACATTTCCTTTTGACGTAAAGCTCAGAGATACAGCGAGCTTGTTTTGTAGTAAATCAGCCTTCGTTTCCACGTATTGTGGAGCACAGACTGCTTTGGTTTATTCGTCATTTGGTGGTGTGTAAGTTACGCATCACGGATTTCGTTCCCACACGATCCTAATTATAAGTTTTTCGTGAACAGATCAACACAACGGTTGGTGCCGGCAACATCACAACTGTTTGCTGCTGAATACGTTTTTTGTATTTTTTTTATTTTGTTCAAAGTATTTCGTGCGGATTTTTATTCAGTTCTTCGATAAACGAAACTTCTCGTAACAGAACGAAATATAATTTCTAGTGCTGCCCCAGTATTGAATGTCGTTACAAAAATTTATACACTCGCTTTGTTATACTCACCACAGATGCTCAGTCTTACATTGTAATTATTCCCGAAACATAACTACATGAGACGTGAATGCATCGAAGAATGTAATAAAATATCTATTTCTCTTTCCACAGACACGTTGAGTAATGTATTTAATGTTTCTATACATATTTGCCACTAAAAACGTGAGTTAGAAGAAACATTTTACCTGTAATGGGTAGAAAAATTATGGCGATAATGTAAAGAATTTATGGTATCCTTTACATCTTCATGGCCTTTTTGCAGATTTGCGGGTCTTCGAACCTGCTTTATTTGCGTTAACGGCATTGGAAATCATACCTTCAGAGTCATTACACGTTTAGGTTATACACTAGACCACGTGCAGAGTACTTTTTGAAAAGCCGTTAGTCGCTCAGCTAGTCAATAAACTCCCTACTGTATATGTAACCCCTAAAGTTCATTACCGCTTTCACAAGATCTCGCCACTGGTCCCTATCGTGAACCACACGAATGAAATTCGCATCCACTTTTAAAAAAGTAATAGAAAGACGAAAATCTTAATTTAAATACAAATATAATTTCTTGTGAACGATATAGTTTGTGCCGCATGTCGTGTGCTATTAAAAATAATCCATATAAACCTGTACGTTGGTTTGTTAATCGCCACAGTTTTCGTCGTCCTCGACATCACGATCTACATAACCTGCATCTCCAGGAACCAGTTTTCCGCATCAGTAAGAAGTTGTTATTGTTAAACCTATTGTCATAATTCCTGTTGTTATTCCTTGTAGCTGCCTTTGATGTTTCCGGCACTCCTGTTGATTCGCTGGTACAGAGTAAATCATCTATGCCTCTGGAGGACCGGGACTCCCCCCAACGTGTTTAACTCCTTACGGGGCTAGACTGCTTCTGGGGGCGCAGTCCCCAGAAGTGGCCTTGGGACGCCCCAAGGTATTCCCCCACGCCTACTCGCAACCCGGGTACTTTATTTAACACCTGGGGCTTTACCACTCACGTCGGTCCCTAGGATACTTCCTTCGCACTTTAGCACACACCTCGACATCTAATATATCAGGGTAGATCATCCTGGCTTCAGGAAGATCTGCATTGACCGCGAGAAGTTTTGGCATGCACCGAACTAGGCAACTTTCGGGGGACCCCAAGGTAATTACCCCAACGCCTATTCCAGACCAAGATGAACTCCTGGGACTTTACCCCCCGGACACCTTCACTAGGTTGCTTGCCTTCTTCGAGCCTGCACTCCAACGACAGTTGCTTCCATCTTGCAGCTGGAGATATTTGCGCAGTAGTGAACTACGTGATGCGGCTTGTGGAATATCTTTGAAATATCAATGCACTTTGGTCAGTGGCCATCAGGTGGCAGGTTTCGCATTTAATTTAGCCCAACATACCGTAGGCTTTTTTATCCGCATATAATAGGAAAGTTATATAACTCTGCAATTCTCGGTTCGTAACACTGGGATTTGGGTGCACTGAGGAAGTTTTCTTACTGGATGGAAAGCAAAGATACCATACTAATGCAGTCGTTTTTATTATGAGTTTATTTCCTTAATTTTTACACAGCATACATTGAATGTGGGCGCGCGTTCATTAATAAACATCATCTTTTACCAATAAGCTTCGTATATTTGCCCACAGATAGCGTCACTGTAGTAGTTTTTAGTTACACAAAACAGTCTCATAATTGACACACATAGGTCACATTAATGTTCATAGCATGGTAACCAGTTCATCATCACGTCAACGTTTCCTTTCAGAATTTAACATTATTATCTAAAAACGTTACTTCATCATGGTCATACACAACATTTGGCCCCCTAATCTTATTTAAATTCGATTGTCCGGGGAACGCTTTATAAATTCGGGTTATTTTTATTTGCAATATAAAATTTCAATATCATACACATTTAAAGTAGGCCCTTTTATTTAAATGCTGTCGTACGTCGTATGTACTGTCCACCATTCTTTATACCGTGTTTCCATTTCAGATGTAGTTTTTTGCAGTTTTTTGCTTACAGCATTGTTAATGCGTTAAAAAATAAAATTTCCCACATTAAAATATTCTTCATACACAACTTTCGGGGCCTGGAATTGAATTTGATATGATATGGTCCTTCCTTGCTATGCCATTTGAAGTGTATACGTTGGTTGCACTAGGAGACGGTGAAATCTTGTCAAGTTTACTTCTTGTAGGTGGCAGTGGGGGCGGGGATGTTGGTGCACTTGATACGTATTCTGGAGACGTCAGTGCAGGAGACATCTGCTGTAATAGCAAGTAACTAAATTATTCTTTCTATAAGGACATTAAGCATTTATTAGGTGATTTAGAGGGAATGAAGTAGAATGGGGACTCAGAAAAAGTAATTTCCGGCCCTTTAAGTTGACTCGTGAACACGAACAGGAAATTGTATTTTATCCCTCATGATACAAAATGACACATAATTTGACATTAATGTGGAACTAAAATTAAAATTACTTTTTATATCTGTACGGAGCTGCTGTAGTTCTCTGTCAGCATAGTGATTAGGCTACGGGATTAAGATTGCGTTTAGATTCCCAGCAGGGTAGGGCATCTCATTGCTTCAACGTTCAGACCAGCTCTGAGGCTGACAAACCTTCTCAGAGGGTACCAGGATTCACTTTTCGGGGTTAAAACGGCAGGGAAATACCAGGGTACCTAACGTCTTGAGAAACTGATAGTCGCCCAAGCTCGTTAAAATTATATATCTACTTAGATGAATCCAGTGCATATCCAATTTTCGACTAGGTCTTCCGATTTGTATCTTTCCTTCAGACTTTCAAACTAATATTTCCAGAGTACCTGACTCGTTATAGAACCACTAAATTATTTTGTAAATTAAGCCAGGAAGATAATCATTAATCGTGAAACTGAGAGAATATTAGCATTTTTTTCAATAAATGACATTGTAAAACTCATAGCAATCTTGGGGCAGGGCGAAACCTGTCGGTGCCACGGCAAAGGTATTAAGGCCCAAAAATGATTTGTGTAAGTGACTGCTGGTTTCATACTTCCTGTAGTTTAGCGAAGTTGGCACTTAAGCCTGAAGTTCATTTATAAATTGTGTAATCGTATTTGCGTTGTATGATGATTAATGAATAATCAACTGAAAATAATACGGAAGTAATTGTTAGTTCCTTATTTTAATGTACCTTCCCGGAAGTTCCCTAGAAGGACTGAGAAAAACGGAAATCATGAGTCAAGATAGCTGCTCTCCGAGCCGGCATTTATTGTTTTAACAAAATTTTATACTAATTGTAACAACCTTTAATATTAAGTTGGATTTGAGGTTCTGGCGGCGGTGAGTACGAAAATGGCTGTCTTCTGGGTTGTAGCGCCTTGCCTCCAGCAAGGACCTCTAAAACGTCGGTAAACTTCTACCAGACTTCTTGGCGCTACAACTAAGGAGACAGACATCTTCGAAACTTTGATTTTCATAATTTGCATCCGGTTATGTCCCTTCATTAAGATGATTATCGCTGAGGAAATTAGTTGGTACTTACAAAGGTAGCTGGTACACCAGACAGGCGTCTACTAGAATCCATCAGAGCATCTCTTTTTACTGGAAACAACACTTCAGGCCTTTGGAGAGGAGCTTCCGCTATCACAGTATCCGTTGCTGCAAATGAGAACGAGGTTTATGAGCACGAAACTAATTAGGATGATATGTAGAGCACCAAGGTTCGCGATCACAGATTTCCATTGGCATTATTAGACAGAAGAGCCAGGTATACGCTTCGGGAAGAATCATTTTGAAGACAATATCAAGCAGTTATGCTTTTTCTAGACCTACTTGTAATACACTAGCCAATGTTTGTCGCTGTTTCTTCGATGTTGGAGAACCTGAAATTAAGTTCTATCCGTGGTAATTCTGGCAGTAAGAAAAGCAAACGAGACTGTGGCGGAGCGTGTGGTGAAGTCTGGCGGAATCTGCGTTTGGCGAGAGTCTGAAGTTCGGAGTAAAGCTTTGGTTTTGTTTTCGCGCGTTTCTCTAATGTGGCTTCAGTCGACGTGAAGAGATTTTTACATTTGATTGACTATAATACTTTTTGTAGATTTTACACTTTCAATATGATTTTCAGTAAATTATATTACTGTTCGAAACAAAATTGCTTCATTTGCGTTAAGATGGGACTCGCTTTTAAGTGTCAAGTAATTATCGCTCTTTTCTCGGGGCACATCTCTTCTGAACGTCACTTACCTCGCGGAGTGTTGAGGATATCCGGCTGTCTTTCCGAAGTCTGCTGCTGACCGCATTCAGCTGCTGACTTGAGTGTGTAAGATACAACATACCGATGCTCGCCGTGGTTTATCTCCAACAGTGAGTTGTGTCTGGATGCTGACTGTAGGCCGCCGGAGGGGGGCACTTTCTGTTGCTTCGCTCCTTCCAGTTCCATCTGGTGGGGCGCACCGTGACGATGGTGATGGTTGTGAGGGTCTCTATGTCTTCTTACCGCCAGTACAGCGACCAATAGGACTGCGATCCCCAGAGTGAGAACCGCACCAGTTAACAGCGCCGCTAGTGGCACAACGCTCAAACCACCGCCATCTCCAGACACGGATTCTACTATCAGGATAGAAATCGTGTGTCACTGTTGGATATTGCTCAACAGTCCACAGACGAAGGCTACCTCAGGATTTACCTGGGTGTGTGCTGTATTCAACTGACCCTCATCCAAAGGGAGACATATTCCTCAAACAGGTAAGAACAACAACAACAACCACTTTCTCTTCCGTTTGTAATTTACAACAACGTTTCTATCATTGTTTTATAAATTACAATAACACTGTGTTGTTAATTACCCATTACGTGAGTTTGATATAAACGATGTTTCGGAAGTTGGCCCTACTCCCACCATGATTGGTTGTCATGATCCTGATAATTTTTGTCTCATTGGTGACAACGGTTGGGACAGAATCTGGGTCCCTTCAAATGACAGATTAAAACGCTAACCAGCAGAGAAAAAAGTGTCACTTAGGTGACTTACATTCTCTCCTCACTTGTAGGAGAAATTAGAAATTTGGCTGTAACAACTATACAATTACTGATTTTTGGACATACTGTTAGCTGTTTTAATAGGCTGAGCCCCGGAATTGTAATTGTTATATTACAAAATATTCTCCATTATTCTCTAAGACCATACGTCCCATTTTCAGTACATTTTAACCTCAAGATCGACAGGACACCATACCTGTTTACAATTCTCTGCCACATAGTTAAGACATTACGCATTTGCCAATAGACAGCTTTAGGAATGAGTGTGCTCAATTTATCCGAATAGGTATTGGTAAATTAATTTGATAAGGTCAGTTACTCTGAACTCAGTTTCACGAACCAAATTTTGGTGTATTCTGTGTGTTTCCACCATATAATTTCAATCGTACCATACTTAATATTATTTGACTTTCGTGGATTTGATGCCCGTGGCATATACCAGTTCGTTAAAACACCCATTTACGTCGCAGCTCATAGTTCTTCGCTTCCCGTACCAACAGAAGGAAAGGTCTTCCGTGTCTGCATCATATGAAGATTGTTTCGTAACAAAAACAACTAAAAGTTTCAGAATAGAAAGTCACGTGCAGAAGCTTCAGAGATAACAGGAACGAATGCCCTGGAGGCGAACGGCTGTGGAACGCCAGTAGTACAGCCGATCCATAAAAACTGTACTTGAAGACGAATTTTAAAACATTTACAAATTTCGAAATATAAGCATGAAATTACGGAAATAATACATAAAACTAGTATGATTATGAATATGCATTGAACGTTGAAAACAATTTGGTAATACATTCGGTAATTAATGTGACCCGTAACAGCTCAGTCACTAATGTGATTGGCTGCATATTGACAGCTCTGGGTCGATGAAGGTTCGATTCCCAGAAGGGGTTCTTCGCTAATACCGCATCAGCTACGACGTTTACCAAACACTTTATTCAAAGAGTCTGGAGGGCTCTTTCCGTGGGGGCAAAGTGGCTGGAGGGCGAACGTCCTCACACATCTGAATCTAGTATCAAGACGTGTAATGCGGGCAAGTATACTTTCAAGCCACCAATGTGCATTAATATTTAGACACAGGACAAAATTTATATTTTAATTTTCTCAGTAGAGACATAATGAATGTAATGTAAGACTTGCTTTAGGCAATTTATAGGGTTGAGACAGTTACACATGCAAACGTACACTTTTGTTCAACCTGTTAAATGTGTTTGCAGAAATCAGCCCCTTCATTTAATATAAATATGATGACGTACACGGATTGAGAAATCTCCCGGGATTTTTACATACAACCACGACTGCTTTCTCGCTTCATGTACACGGTGTGAGCGCGTGATAACTTTGAACTATACCACCGGGTGGTCTGCTGTCGGCTCTAATCATCTGTTTATTTTTAAAAAGCCTTAATACATATTAAAACCTTTGAAAATAATCACTACATTTTTAAGGGTGAATCGTCCTTCGTCTGCAGCTTAAAAGGTGGGGGAGACATCTATTGTATTAGATCCGGTAAACAGAACTATTCCCGATCTGCTGTGGACGAGAAGAATCAGTCGATTGGGTTTTATAGTACATCAGTCTGAAATTTTCGACCGCTGAGAGTCGTGAAACGTACAAACGTGTAATGTCTACCTGCTACACGTCTTCTTTATAGAATATATACCTCAAACGGGAGAAGAAATTCGGAAGCCACGCTTTTGTAATATTACAGGTGCATAGGATTTAGAAGGTATAGGAGTGTTAGAATGCAAGCAGAACGAAAATATCCGCTCACTTTACTGCCAGGAACTTGTAAAGATTCGTACAAGCAAAGTCGTGAGGCGAGGCTTGATTTTGTGCGCAGACCCACTATAATTCGGTTAAAAACTTCCGTCTCCAAATTGAGAACCGTTGGAGTTCCATGACTCTTTGCAAAACTCTTTACGAACGCCAGTGTCCACCGATATGATGTAAAATCTTGAATGGTTTCATGTCCCGCGTAAACAGGACTTAGGGTCCAACATTCTGCATAGATGCAGGATTCGTTTGCCAAGCCACTTTGCCGTCAGGGACGTTGCCCAGGGTGCACCACAAGGAGGTAGGTCTACAATGGAAAGAATCACTACTGAACATCCCAGATTGGCCCAGGCATTCCGCTTAAATACAGGACAAGATTTTTTAACCAAGCACCTCCACCGGATTGGCATCTACACCGAACCATCCTGTGTTGTTTGTAACCAAGGAGAAGAAATGTACAGTCACCACCTACAACAATGCCCAGCTTTGAAGAGCAGCAAACTTTATGATCGCTACTGGGAAGCAAGATGTGTTATGGGTCAAGCTGAAATTCTATGTACCTGCCATTTGACATAAATAAATAAACATTTTGCATAGAGGTTAAATATTCAGTGGTACCACCAGTATAGTGATAGCCATTTGCCTGAAGACGAGAGCACAGCTAACTATGGAAACGTCGAATATACAGAATTCCCGAAAGTGTTGTATGCACAATATATTATTCTTTATATCGATCTCTGTTTGTCGTGTATACGAAAGACATGGACTATGGTCATTTTGAATACGTAAATTCGTTAAACTACTCGGTGCTAATGCTGACTTATGTGATGGTCAAGTTTTTAAAACGCATTTATTTCATTTATTGAATGTGTTTATACACCTTTTTTGGACACTGTATAAAATATTCTTCAGAAGATGAAGAGTTCAACACAATTTTGATGTAGAAAATTAAAATGCCACTCCTCCACAATTTTCAGTGTAGACTACGTATATGTTGGTTCAAATTCTATATGTAAATGCTATAGTACACATACGTCATGATCTTGTAACTTCGAAATCGTGTTTCGATCAGTATACGTCTACTTTAACCGTCCGAAAAGCCAGTCATGTAAACTGTTTAAAAATGTTCTTACCAATAAGAAACCAAATGTAATTACCGTTGGTAATGTTGAGTATGTTATGTTCCTTAGAGATGTTATTGGTCGTCCTGAGAGTCAAATGAATTCGTAAAGTTAGTGAGGAACGTGCAGAGAGATAAACGAAAGTGATACGCGTATTTATCACTGGCCTATAAATGATTAAACAGGAATGAATCGATTTAGCTTATCGTGAACCTTGTGAATGTTATAATACGTAATGGGATCTGTGGAAAGGAAGTGTCAAATGGACACGGTGAAGAACGAGGTGATTTCAAGCTAGGCCTGTGTTAACAGGGAAAGGTGAAATCACTGATGTTTACTGCTTTTCGGGCGAGGTCATTAATAATTTGAATTTTAGTTTGTGTTATAGACTACGTCAATCGAACACAGTCCTGTTGTAGAAGTTAATAGACGCTTAGCTTCGCCGCCTTTTACGAAACCCGATTGACTGTTTTAACGTTCACAAGAGCAGGACTGCAAAGAGTTTGTCAACAGTATACTACGAATAACGATTAAACTAGATAGTCATTTTAAAATATAATGTTGCATAACACTTATTTCGTTTTGTGTTCCAAGATAATGTTTGCACAAAGTGGATATTCGCTCTCGTATACACATTCACCTCTTCGTCACACTGTGGTGGTTGAATCATTCGCCAACTGAGCGAGTATCGATTTTAAAGCTGTGGGTCGATTAGTCGCTACGAGATAGATCAAACGTTATTGCCGCTGTAGTAGTAAATCGAGTCTCAGCCACATGAATAGCGCTCCAGCTCCGATATTCACAAGTTATCAGCGTATAGGTGGTAGCTGGGCGGATTGTTTAACGACAGATGGCTGGAGCCGGGCGTTTTATTACGTGTACTGGGGAGAAATAATGGCAGCCTACAGAAGAAAATACTAGTCAGCGTAGGAAATATTACTGGCTTTTCGTTAATGTTACAGGCAAAGATTTGCATCTCTAAATTTTGTTGTTGTTTTTTTTTCAATACCCCACTCCTATATTTAAAAGTCAGACAAATTACGCTAGTTACAATTAAAATTTTGAAGTAATTGTTACTAACTCTGTACAGCAGAGCCTTTTTTGAGAAGCTAACAGTATTTAATTTGGTCAAAGAATAAAAATGAGAGCAGTTTGTTGTTTAGTTATGCTAGGATTTGTAAATTAGATTAATTTTTACAGTTTGTGACTGTGAAACTTGGCCTGTCGTGTTATTGGAATAACACAAATTAATGATGTTCGAGAACAGGGTTCTGAGAAGATATTTGGACCTAAGAGAGATGAAGTTGCAGAATGTTGAAGGAAATGTCACAATAAGGAACCTCATAACGTGTACTCTTTGCCAAATATTATGAGTATGATGAGTTAAATGAAGATGAGATAGAATGGTTGGAAAACCTGAAGGTAATAGGCTACTCGGAAGATTTCGACGTAAGTGAGAACATAATATTCAACTGGATATTTGGGGACTCAATATAAAGGTGTGGATTAGATTCACCTTTCTCAGTATTTGACTCGGCGTTGAGCTCTTGTGAATACGTGAACAAACATTTTGGTTCTATAGAACGCGGGGGATTTATTGATTAGCTGAACTTAGGATCAGTCTCTCATGAATGTTTCAGTTTCTCACGGCTGTGAGTGTGAAGATGAAGGAATTACCTCTGAAATGTCGGTTAACTTCTACAAGACAACATCCCAGTATTTTCAATTGTCGAACACGAGTTAAATATGTTTTCAAATATGGAGCAGAAATGCTTTGCTATATCAATCAATCAGGGATTTCAACAGTTTTAAACGTCTTGCTGGTTTGTTTTCATTAAATGCACCAAATAGGTCTGAAATGCTGAAATTAATGCAAAGCGCTCAGTTGTGAAACGGTATAGCATTCGAAGTTTATTTTGCTGTATTATGAAGAAAGTTTTTTTGTAATTAAAATGTTTACGCGATTTTTAAATATTTTAATGCGCTATCATAAATGTAACGAAAAATTAACTTCCTTCATTTATCGAAGAAGGAAAGTGTCCGGTTAATATCCCTTAATGTTATGATCGACATAAGATAGTTCTACGTTATATTAGTACTGGAATGTGAAATATCATGTCACAACATTACCAGTTCTTTTCTCGGCGTCTTTGAGAGTGATGTCTTCCAGTACAGCGACCTCGCTGCGTCCCTTGGGGTTCGAGGCGTAGAGTCGGATGTGTAGAGTGGGGGTGTGAGCTGGAAGCAGATCGTTGAGGTCAAGTCGGAAGAGAGGCGAGTCGGAACTCATGTTGAGACGCAACTCCATCGTGCGAGATTCGTAAGCCTCTAGTACGAAGCGTTGTGGCAAACCACCGTCGTACCCCGCCACGCACTCAACCTCCAGGGCATCGGTACTTTGGTTCGTCGCTGCCCGCAACGTACAGTTTCGCAGCGCGCCGGGCTTGGCTGCATCAACAAAAATTCCTGCTACACCACCTATTTAGCACGAGTAATTAGGACACTAACAAGACCAGTGTGTTATAGGTCTCTTTATTTTGAAGAGAAATTAACCAGTAAGGAACTTCCTCTTATTTAGCGGCCTGGGTATAGACCCAGCTGTCTGGTTCAATCCGTAACACAGTTTATTTGCATTCGGGAAAATTCAGTTACATTTTCGGATTATGTTTCCGCCTTTTATAACTATGGCTATACGCGGTTTTACTCAGTCGCTGCGGTCTTCGTCCTGTCGCAGTTTTCTTCAGTTCCAATTTATATCACTGCAGTAAGGAGAAGTTCCTTTAATATGGGAACTTGGAAACAAGCATTTAAATCTCCTTGTGTTTGGTGCCTACTGTACCGTAACAGAGTTGAATAAGACCTTAATTTCACGTTAATTAGTGCCAGTACGAAAGCCAGTTGCAGAAATATTATTGAGAAATGTTAACAGACATTATGAAATTAATAGTCTATCACCCACAAATTTTTGCGTGTACTAAAATACAAACCTACTACGGTCGTTCTACAGTAGTCAAAAAATAAAGGTTGCTTGAGGTAGGCTGTACAAATGAAGAAGTAACTAAAGGACAGTTACAACGAATTTTTATTTAATGTGATTGCTTGGAACATTTTCAATGAGCTAATTTTTGGACTAGCACTGTTAGCTTCTCAAGGATGCTGTTCCGTGGAGGTAGTACTCTTTAGTTGTATAATACATTGCATAAGAGTGTACGTAATCTTGTACACATATCCAGTCTGACATAAAATCACCCCTTTAACGCTTTGTGTACATCAGTCAAACTCTATAATTTGAATGTTGTTCTTGTGAATAAGCTGACGACAGTGTTAATAATAAAAGAAAATCAGCCCAGATATTTCTGTCACTTAACGCAAAGATAACATTTCAATGTATGTAAAAAGAACACGAAGAAGAAGGTGTACGAATTCTGCTGTATGTTATTCATTTACTCACATCTGAAGTCCATGTGTCTGAAACACACGAACACAATGCGCAAATTTCGCCCTCTGTATATTTGAAAATATACAAGCCTGTAATCTGTGATATACCGAATATTATCTTCTCAGGTGCAAAAATAGTGATGTATCATCTTAGATCTTGAACATGGTACCCTACTGATATTTAAAAACCCGAATTTAAGCGGTGCGCGCATTTTAAGTATGCGTTGTCCAAATGATATAAGCAATCAATGAGGTATTAAAAATCGTTTATAACCCGAAAGTTAATCTTCTCCAACAAGAGTTGGTTCTAGACCTAATTCAGTTCCCAGTTACAGAAAGTTATTTCCTAAAGATAACTTCACATTTAATAATCATCTCTACGTTTTTCCCCGAGAAATCTCTTTCGAAGACGTTTTATCACATAAATTTAATATAAATGTCTTTCTCCCATCCGAGGTACATTTCCAGCAGATTAAGACTTTTTTTTTATTTGTGAAATCTGAGGGTTTCGCGGAGTGTGGATTGTAGTCTTACGTGTTATGATGTCGTTTGGTCATGGAGGTAATTACCAACTTATCGGACCAACATATCGTCAGAGCCATACAAAATAATCGGTCGAATCGGCAGTGACAACAGAGCGTCACAACTAAAAAGAACTCAGTTATTTGATATACCTTTGTCATTAGTATAAGGAGTTTCTGGAAATATAGTTTATTTTATTACACTGATAATTCATGTTCGTAGATTTCAATTATTTGCCTCCTTCGTTATTGTGTGATATCAGTTAGTGTTTGTCCCACGAGGGCTCTTGTCATAGTTACGCAAAAAATCGGACGAACACGAGGACATTTGCGCAGTTGACATAATGTTAACTAGTTTTGTTACCTGCAGGAACTAACTGAAAGACGCATGGTTCAGCCTGCCGACCAATGGCGTTACGCCCCCAACATGCCAGGGTCCCGTAATCTCTTTCTGACTTCGGTGTATATTTGAGGTCACTAGTGCTACCATTCCCCGTGCCGAAGCGGGACTTCTCGACCTCAAAACTCTCTCCACTGTTGTTGAATTGCCAAACGAAACTGACATCACTCGGATCAGCAGTCACGTGACATCTGACTCTCAGCACTTCGTCCAGCGAAGCCCCTACCACGGTAACATCCTCACTTTTGCAGACTGGAGCATCTGAATAAAAGGAAAACAACACAGTACGGTTATCATCGGATCACAAAACTGATTCTATTTGAATCCAGACCTGTCAGCATAACTGATTCATGTTTGATACGTATCAACGAAAAGATTGCATCACACGGTACCGCTCGTGGCCTGACTGGAACATCGGCTATTCAGACTATGGCAATTTCGTTGTTTACCATAGAACACAACTTTCTTCAAAATGTTTCAGTTTCTTCGAACATAATCATATAAACATGTATCAGATATCCACTTCATTACCAAACAACTAATTACCACTGCGTGACAGAGTTAGCGCTGTTGTTATTAATATAAAGGGAAGTGTTGTTCTGGAAGGTAGTACTGACGCGTGTACCCCTCGCTTGTCTTAATAGTTTCCCTCCAAGTTGTTTAAGGAGTAATAGAAAGCTCAAGTGACTCGGAAAGCACGTTGAAGTGAAAAGAATTGTGGGAAATCGTTCGTCATATGTTTCAAGGTACTGTCCCGGAATTAGAAAAATCGCGATGCTGCTTCGAAAAACAATTATTGTTCAAGTGCTTCATTACCTCTCCATATTTTTTGTTTCAGGATTTTTTCTTTCAAAAAACCAGGCGTACTCTTGAAAATACAAAACATCCATCGCCATCATAATGATCATCAATTTAGGCTACGTGTTTCAATTTTTCGTCTTCAGTTGTGCAATCTTCTCTACAAAGTTTGTTCTTGTATTCTTGTACCAGTAGGGTTTATTTCAGCATGAATTTAATGAGTGATACTGAATTCATGCATTTTGAAAATATGAATAAATTTTATATTCTTTGACTGTATATTTTCTATTTCGCCTCATAAATATTATTGCAATAGTTATAATTATGGATTCGTATTCAACCTTCGTTGTTGGGTTGTCACTTTATTTAAGAAGTGAGTCGGAAAAATTATTAGACACAGATACGATATTATAGTTTATTTATTTTTATGAGGTTTTATTTGTTGCTTATTTTAGACCTACACTTTTTCTGAAATTCTTGTACGTATGTATTAAAACAATTTTCTCCTTCATACGAGAACATCCAAGACGATTATAGATTAGTGTCTACTGTTAAATTTTAGTGCTGATCACTGTTACACCTATTATTGTATTTGGTCCTCGAAATATGCACTATCGTTTAATGTTGAAATGGTCTTCCTACACTTGTATATTAATTATTTTATATTAACAATCGGCAACAACAATAACTGGTTGTAGAATTTTCTTGTTAGTATTCAGTTTCACACAACCAACAGAGATAATCGGCAACAACAATAACTGGTGGTAGAATTTTTTTGTTGGTATTCAGTTTCACACAACCAACAGAGACTGAAATTATACGTCACAGTGGTGAGTTTCAATGAAGCTTTTGGGTAATCGATTTCAATCAAAGTATAGACGAAGTAACGATATGTGACATGAAATAAGTTCGTAAGGCGGAAAAGTAATGGGATATGTAATGACGCTGTCGTTAAATGTGTGTTTTCAAACTTCATCTTTCACGATATATGCCAGGGATTTTCAAAGCCGATTAGCTGTCAAGTGTGCTGTAACGTTTCCCGGAAAATGTTTCACAAGGTCATTATCAGAAATATGTTACGAAAAGCAGGAAATAGAATGTCACAATTGTCCCTTTCACTGTCAACGTTTCAGAATCATTGATACCATCATCACTGTCTCACGCCGAATATTGTTTTAAGCACATTGCCAATAAGACAAAAAATACTTCTGCATGGTGGAATATGAAGGTGTGGTCAGAAATTAAACTGTATGTAATCATGGAAAGAAATAGTCTGAATAAGATTCATAAAGCAGTAAATTTAAGCTTTACAAGAACTTTTGTTTGTTCTTGTGTACTTGGGAAATTATACATGAACTGATTTTAAACATGTCGCTATTCTATATCTATTTTCCTTACGAATCTAACTGAAATTTACTAATACTGTTCTAGATCAGTCGGTTGACGCTGTTGGGGAAATGATCATTGTTTAATCGAAGAGTCATAAGAAACCCTTAAGTACAAAGGTCAGAGTTATTAGACGTTACATTAGGTGGACCGTACAGCTACCTCTTTAATTTAAAAAAATTAAACAAAGTTTAAATTTTTGTGGACGTTACATTAGGTGGACCGTACATCTACCTCTTTAATTTGAAAAATTAAACAAAGTTTAAATTTTTGTCATTGCCAATTTGTGCTGTACCGCATGTGTTCTAAATGCTACCGCACAAAGTTCTTGGTGTCGCCATTCTTAGAAAACATGACAGCCGAAATATTGGTAAGTTATTCTGGTTTGAAAGTATTAGTTTAGCTAATAGACTAACGCCATTTCTTGCTAGTAAATATTTAATATTGACACAAATTATGCAGCGCAAAACGCTATGAAGACACTACATAATATGTTGAGACAGAGTGCTTATTTCTGACAAGTCAGAGTTATTCAAAGAAATTCGTCCATCTAAAGAGATAAGTTTGGAAAAATTTTCACAATTTTTCAAAGGAATTCTTCGACTTAATAACATGTGTTGCGTGTATCGCAAACTTGTTTCCTTATAAATCTTCAGTATGTTACAATATATTTAGAATCAGACTGAAATATTTAAAATATGTAAGAAATGAACTTAAATGAATCATACATTCGTCTGTGCTCCTCTAATATGTATATGCCAGAGAAAGATGAAAGAGGAACGAGAAGAACAAGCAGGAGATGAAGACTGAGGAAGGAAATCAATTCGTTTTGAGAATAAGAAAGAAGAGAAAATAAAAGATGGAGGATTTTGTGCTAGAGGAAAAGGGCGCCTGAAACTGACGTGTTGATGACAAATGCTCAACGACGGTACGTTTCATCTTGGCCTCCCTGCCGCCTACCCGTCTATCTTCTCCGTGTTTCGAGTAAATATATAGGAACTCCCGAAAAAATTGCATGTTATATTATCTGTTACTTACGGACCATAGAAGTGAATATGTCTATTTCGAGTGGCTCAAAATGAACAGCGACTTGTTTATTTTATTGTCACTACTGAAATAATGATTTAGATCACTAGTCATCTGTTGGCATCTAGAATGTTGGACAATGACACTGACTGAAACATCGTTGTCATACATGGCATTGGTAACATTACCAAATAAATTAATTAAAGATATTCATAAAAATAATTATTGGGTGTTCAGACACGGAGAAGCACTCCTTTCGTCACTTACTACTGCAGGATTGTTTCTGAGATTCTGAGAGATTTACGAACTTACTAAAATTATTTTAAGTCAAGGGATTGGTAGCACAGTTATACTGATAATGAACTTGCAGTTCATGTAAGAGAACTAGTAATTTATCGATATGAGTCTTCTGGATAAGTAACGCCGTGAGGATTTGTAGGTACATACATATTGCCTCCATCTTCATCCCCGAAAACGAAAGCAGGCAATTTGCACCTCCGAAATGCAGGTATCTACGTACAAGTCTACAAGCTACAAACGAGGAGAGAAACATGGACGTATTCATTCCGTGAGAACTTCAAATCCCGTATAATAATTAATAACAGTGAACGCAATTAATTCAAGCTATATACTGCTGTTTCACCTTCACTGTTTGAAAGTGTAACCCATCGTGATTGCTCACTTAAGTAAAATCTATCTGGTTATTGATCAGGTTTGAATTAAATGCGGACAAATTTAGCACTGATGTTACCACTACGATTTATTCGGCTGTACCACTCATCCTTCTATATTCTTTCTTTCTTTCTTTCTCTCACCCTCTTTTAGCCGTAGGTGTCGAGGTTTTATTTATTTTATTGATCTATTTGGACAACGTTACGATCCTTGGATGAGTGATCAGCCCGACGCAAGGCCTGTACCTATACAAACACAGAAATGCGCGGAGTGGGAATCGAACCCACGGTCCCAGCGGCCAGGCGCATTCCTCAGACCGCGTGGCCACTGCGGAGCCTTCTATATAAACGGGTAAAATGGCTACATCCTCATTAAATAATATATTAACACATACAATTTGCTTAGCTTCTTTCCCTTATTTTACACTACTGTTTTCACACGTATCGGAGATTATTTAAATAAACCATGGCTTATATACACCTCCATGTCTTAAATTAACCTCATCAGCAGTACCGGTAAATTGATCCAGACAAGATTAATGGTATTAATAATAAGCCTATGAATTCATGCACGTTAAAATAACCCATTTAAAAACGTATGTTTTAATCCGTATTTATGAAACACGATGTCAAATTGTGAACAAACATAGAATCCGCAGAGATAAATGAAGTTCATAGTTATAGACAGATGAAGGTGCACTGCACTAATGGCACCCAGTCTGTTACAGTGCTGTAATGCTATATCGAATAAGATGTCTAATATCAATCGTCATTAATGCTATATTAATTTCAAAATTCTCCACACCCGGTCTCAGCCAGACCCGGTCTGTACCAGTCAGGGTGTCTGGTGTAAAGGATTTCAAAATTCGAAATTTTTTCAAATATTTCAAAAAGATCGTAATTTTCAGTTTCCTATCCCTACTTGAACCGATCTCTGCCACACTCAGTCCCTGCGAAACTCGGTCTTTGTTTCACCCTTTCTCTGCCGGACTCCGTCTCTGCTTCACTGGGTCTCTGCTTCAGCCGGTCTGAGCCTGCCCCTGCCTCTTCAGTGACGCACCAGCAGAGCGGCTCATTCAGAGAACAGACCGTACGGAGACCGAGTCAGGAAAACACCGGTTCCGAAAGAGGCAGGGTACGGCGGAGAACGGGTCAAGCAGAGACATGTTCTGGCAGGGATCGGGTGGGAATATTTTTCAAAGAAATTTCAAATTTTTCAGACTTTTCGAAAAATCAAAAAATGCTGGGAATATGTCCAAATAGCGCACAAAAGTAGAAATTGAAAAATTTGAACTTCAAATTTTTTCAATCATTTCTATTTTTTGTTCTGTGCGCACTTTAGGGAATTTCCAGCATTTCTTGTTTTTCCGAAAATTTTGAACTTTTCAGTACCCTATCCCTAACAGATCCG